CCCCCCCCATCCCATCCGACCGGTGCTTTTAATTCGCAGGAATTAAACTAGCGACCTTGCGGCAAGGCCGTGCAAACACACACACACAAGAGAGAGAGAGAGAGAGACGAGCCAGTGAGCTTGCCAATTAAAAGCGCGATCGCTTCTCATTCACTCCCCTCCAGGAAATTTTCGGTCTATCACTTTTATAGTGCAGCAGCTGCTTTTTATTAGCAACTATAAGCATGTATTAGCAAGGCGGCCAGCAGCACAAGTAGGAAGGCGTCGACGAGAGCGAGAAGAGGAGTGCGGAGAGATAGAGAGAGACGGTGGTGGAAGGGGGAGGAAGCGCGTTATGGTTCGGCGTGCGGCAGGCCGTGCGGCACGGCGTCGCGTACGCGCGTACGGCCCTGGGAAACCCCACCACCACCACTCTCCGGACTCTCCAGCACCTCGCCGACGCGCCTGGCCTGAGGACGCTCCGGCACGCACTCATTGTTATGACGCGCGAACTTGAAACGACTCCAGAGTAGAAATGACCCCCCCCCTCCTCCCATCCCTTCCCCATTTTAAATTTCCCGCGCGTTTCCTCTCGCGCGGAGAAAGACCCCGCGCGCGCAGGTCAAGGTCTCGGTCAAGGGAAGCTCGAAGAGAGACAGAGATTGAAAAGAGGGGGAGAGGAGCGGCACGTCGGGTTAAGGAATCGGCGGGCAGATGCATTCTTTTGCTATCCAGGCGCCAGCAACTAACTGGTTTGTCACGCGTCCGCGGCGACCTCGCGCCGGTGAGTTTGGAGAATCTTCCGACTCAGCATCCCGGTACCATTTTTATGGTTCATCTTATTGCCAGTTGTCTTCGGCGGAAGCAGAGCCAGAGTGGCGGCGCTGACCTTGTGGATGGGAGGCTGTCTCCGCCAGTAGTGATCTTTCAGTCCCGTTGAGCTATCGAGACGCCAATAGTGTACTTCGACTGACGGGGGAGGAATCATGGCGGGTAGAACATAAAGGTTCCTGATTGGTCGAGCCTTTCCCCCTACTACCGGCGTGGCGTAGTGGCGGGAAGCTCTTCACCAACCGGGAACGTTTATGGTCTGCCGCTCTTCTTCTTAGTCCGTTAGTCGTAGTACACTTACTATCCCGTCGCGTCGCCCGGGCGTGTGAGATTTGGAGGCGATGGTACGAACGCGGCTCCACGCACCACGAACAGATATATGGACAAACTACAGAGTCCGAGGAGTGTCGTGAACGCTCGGCCAGAAAAGCACGAGTTTAACGGGAACTAACACGTTGAGTGCGGCGTGACCGCTGGACGGCTGGGTGGTCACAACTCCGTATCAACCGTAGACCGTAGAGCATAAATATCTCCCATACTCAACATAAGCTGAGGTTGGCTAGAGCGACGAGCCCTATGTCTCGGCCCAACGTCCTCCTGGCTGCCTGCTGGAAGAGGAGTCCTCGCCGAGACCGGAGTATTCACCATTACCTTTCACGTTGCTGCTTGAGGTGGCCCATGATGAGCTTGTCGGCGAGCTCGGTCGCGCTCACGGGACTGGCGGGGTCGCCACTCGGGCTGGTCGACGGGCTGGTGCTCGCGCTGTCCGAGTCCACGGGCGACGGCGAGCTCGACGCGGTGCTGGCGCAGCTGCAGTCACTGTCACTGTCCACATGGACCCCCGCCACCGGCGGCCGGGCCCCCGCGGGGCACACGCAGATTGGGGAGGCGAGCATGACGTGGTGGGTCGTGGCGGCGGTGGCGGCGGTGGCGGGGCAGGGCCGAACGGTGGCGATCCTCTCCCCGGAGCGGCCAGACTCTGAGTGGACGTGCCCGGCGCCGCTCGCAGCTCTATATCCAGCATCACCCGCGCGGACGCAGCGCACGCACCGGCCGTGGTCCAGACAGACTCCAGCTCCAGGCGGCCGAGGCTCCAAGGCGCCCGTGTCGCGAGGGCGGGGCGCGGGGGCCGAGGGGAGGGCGGCGGCGTGAGAAGAGAGGAAGACCCGGCCGGCGAGGGCTGGCTGTGGGTGCAGGGCCGGCCCAAGGGTTGTAGGCAGGTCCGGCTGACTGGGGGCGACGCACCGTCGGTTGCCTATAGTCAGGGTTTTTGTGGCGCAAATTGTCGACCTTTCAGGCGGCTCTCTAGAGACCACAGGGGCTTAATGCGCGCCTGGGGTAGGGCCTGCACCCTCTGTGTTACTATGCTGCGCTTCGTGTGTTTGGGGGGTTGGGATGGGGCGGCAAGACGTACGGAGCGGTCCTGGCGAGCGCGCGAGCGCTGCAGCGCGGGCAACCTTGCGTGGCTCACGGTGTGGGCTCATCAGTGCTCAATGGCGTTCGGTCCCACAGGTCCACAGGCCACGCTCCGGCTCCGCGGTCCGCGCGACCTCAGCCGGCGCATATAGGCGCTGTGCCCAGGTTCACATCTGGCGGGGCGGAAAGCGGAAGGGCTGCGTGGGTACAGCCTACAAGGTGGTATGGTGGAGACTAGGAAGAAAGCGCGAACATACCTGGTCATCGAAGGGATCATCTATAAAGTACGTTTATCATACGCCATGCAGCTTCTGAAAGCTCTCATAGCGCCTGGTAGGTAGGCAACATCGTGCTAGCAATGCATGCGCGTACTGCGGAGTGGTCTACCCTTCACCTCGCAGGCGCCGAGCTCCTGTAATTTGCTGAATGAATCTGGGGGAAAAACGGACGTACTTTCTGGACGAACCCTAATTATCCATGAGAAGGTGCCCCTCTTTTCCCGCTCTCCTGCGTCACAGGTCATTCCCCCGACCCGGGGAGCCCCCCGTCCGTGCGTATACGACGCAGGGCGTGCTGCGTGCGTGGTCGACCCCCTCGTACATCGCGGCCGAACACAGCACAGAGAGGCAAGTCGGAGAAGGCTGATCTTGCGGTAATCCAGAGGAAACCAGTGGAGAGGGGGGGGGCATCCCCACTGCACCCCGCCTTTATCTAATCGTCATTGTGCTGCACGGGAGGAGGGGGCGCGCGTTCGGCAGCCCGCCTCCCCCCTCGCCACGTCCTGCCGATTCACACAAGGTGAATTAGGAAGTGAGGAAGGGGAAGGGGAAAGGCCCAGCTGCTGGCCGACGTACGTCGTGTCCCTAGGAAGGACGCGGACGGACGCACAGCCGGGGGCCACCCGTGGGCCCCGCCAGGCCAGCCGTTTAAAAGCGACCATTGTTGTTCAAGGATGAATGAAAAATTTGACGATGAGATACGCGAGGAAGCGGGGGGAATGTTGCGGCGTTGCCGCGCGTGCCGAGCCTGCGCCGTGCCGCCGAGGTGAGGAGGGGGGTCGTTAAAAACTTGCAACGAATCAACGAATCGCCGCAGATCACCGGTTGAAGAATTAGAATGAGCGTTTACACGGGGACTGATGACGCGGTGCCGCTCGCTCGACTCGGCCGGCCAATCAAGCAGAACAGCAGAGCTTATATTTTCTGGTCCAAGGCTGAGCTTGGCGCCGCCGTCGTCATCTTTGCGTCACCAGGGCGTCGCTTCCGGAGTTGGTCTGGTTGCTAAGCCGAAAAGTACTTTCTCTCATTGCCCTGAGCGCTGAGCTCGGGGAGAGGGGGGGGGGGGCGGTCTACGACCCCCGGCCCCGGACCCCCCTCCGGACCCCGAGACATCATGGACTTGACCATGGCCCCGAGGACCACTGCCTTCCGCACTCATGGCATCGGGGCCCAAGGCCAGACCCTTGGCTACCCAGACAGTACAGCATAGTGTCAGTTATGACCCCCTTTACTCCCGAATACAGTCGGTACAGTCGCTACAGACAGATGCTAGACGGGGCGCTATGGAAAATCGACGTAGTAACAGCGACCAGGACGGTGCAAGGTGCAAGCAACAAAGCAACACTACCGAGTCGCGATAATGCGTGGAAATAACCGGCCGCGAAGGTGGCGGTGGGCGCTCGGCCGCTAGGCTTTCAGGTTTGTGGCACCCGGCGCCGCCAACGCCCCACGCATCTCCGGGCGGAGGGGGCCCCCCAGGTCCCCGGGCCCCAGGCACCGTCCGACCGCTCTGCTCCGTTCTGCTCACCGCGTTCGCAGCGGACTGTCCTTGGGGTGCGCGCGCGGCGCGGTGGTGGTGGTGGCCACGCTCCTCCAGAGGGCGGTCGACGACACCCTCGTCGCCGAGGACGGGAGGCCCAGCAGCAAACCCACCCTGAGCACGGGGGCCAGGGTGCCCATGGGCGGCGGCATGAGGGGAGCCGCTGAAGGGCCGCGCAGGACCCCACACAAGTTTAACTGGGGAGGGGCGAGGGCACGAGCGGCATCGCAGTCGTTTTGAAGAACAATGGCAGCGCGATAGGGAAGGCCTCGCCTGGTGGGTCCACCGAGGGAAGAGCGGTTGGATACCTCTCGCATTGGCGCGCGGTATCGCATACTAATCGTCCATAACTACGTCCGTTTTTCTCAGATTCATTTGACATTTGGCGAAATATGGGAGCTCGACGCCTGTGAGACTCGGGGTAGGCCACCCCGCGGCACACGCGTGCACTGCAGGCGTGATGTTGCCTACCCATCAGGCGCTCCGAAAGCTTGACGGACATGACATACTCTCTGGATGATCCCACAGGAGCGGGTGGGGCCATGGGGCCATGCCAACGCCCGGTCGGTGCCTGGCGCCTCTGGCGCTACGCGGAACGGCGTACTTACACCGCGCGCCCGCTTGCGCAACCGGCGCGACCAGCGCAGCGCAGCGACAACCACAACAACACTCCGGGGTTAGTGAAGCGCGGGAAAGAAAAAAGAGCAATCTCCCGAGGGAGGAGCACATCTTTCACACGGCTCCTACAAATCACGTTTTCTGCCGTCATCAGTTTTTCAGTCACATCCACTTGCATCCACACGCCACAACGATGCATTTAGCTGTGCCACAAACCTGTCATTCGTAACATTTTAGACTTTGTTCAGAGTTATGTTGAAATTTGATCATACAAGGCGGGTGCCGACTAACGACATCGTCTCGACATCGGCAAAAAACTCACTTCTCACAGGATTGTGTTGGAACAGTGTACCGGGTACTGACTGTATTTCTATGCACGTGCAGGTACGAGCGGGTTTGCCTACTCCCACGCCATGGCCCCTGTCAGTAGGTAAACCACGTTAACCCACCCCCACCTCCAAGGAGACATACAATACACAGAGAACACTCAACTTGGAAGTGGCTTATGGCAAGTGTTATACCACATAGAATCGTAAGATCTTGATGGGACCACTACGGTCTTTCCCAAAGGACTTCATTTGAAATCTGCAGTTTATGATAACACTGGGACCAATGTACTAGTCAATTAACTTTATTGACAATGAGAAATATGGTGCATAACATAACAAAACATTAAAGGTCCCTTTTTTCCTTCCATTTTAAAAGAGGTTGGTGTCAGAGAGCAAAACGTGGTCAGAGACATACAAACCACAGTGAGAATAACAATAATTATTGACAGCAATTAAAAGGCACTTTCCATCTAAGACTAATATTACTAAGGACAGTTCACAGGGATAAAGATAATCTTTTCCACAAATGGAGATATAACCATTGGTGTGGAGTTACCTAAAAGGGGCAATCACAGAACATACACACCTCATAAACTATGAAACAAGAATACATATTATAACTTTCAAATGTTTGTAACGTTTACATAACAATCAATAATAAAAGTACAATATTCAAACCTTTGATTTGGGGGGGAAAATTACTGGCACTTAATATCACAAAACAGATCAAAGCAATTATAATGGGTAAGAAAAGTGATTTGCTTTTTTAACATGCCTTAAATGCAAGAATGATCACATGGGATAAAAATACTATCATAACCAGAAGTACGGGGAATCACCAAACATAGGAGATCTAGCCGAAGTAAGCACCACAGTTGGAACAGCGACGATTCTTGAGTAGAAGGCAGGCAATGATTCCAAGAGGAAAGAAAAATATGGCACAAAAGATCCCCAAGCATGTGTAGTCATCTTCTAATATTCCAACCTGAAAATAGACGAGGGCCCATTTTACAAAGTATTTTCACAAAACAAAATAAAATGAAAAGATGCCATAATAAGATATGAAAATGATGTCTCATGGACTTACCCTGCAAGCTGGGCACGCTCCAACAGTCTGAATGATAACTGCTGGCTGCACATTGACTGCAGTAGCTCCATAGTTCTGCCACTGTGGAGGTGGAGTGGGTCCTGGATATGGTTGGTATCCTGGAGGGAGGTCACCAGCTGCAAGAGCAAACATTCAAAACAGGTTGCCTATTAGTCTGACATGGTTACATAACATTAGATTTGGGGAGGCTAACCAAAACAAGGATACGATCTAACGTAGAGCATATGGATAGTTCACTCAAATTAGCTAACATTGACTGCAAGTACAATCAGCAAGTGTTTCAGAAAGACAAACATCATTTACAGTACAACAATTCAAATGCAATTAATAATAACTTAATACAAGAGATTTCAATAGTGGGGTATTGACACGAGAAGGAAAATTTACCTTGGGGCAGAGGTGGCTTTGGAGAGTACGGTGGAGGATCCTCACAGCCTCTGCTACTCTTTTCAGCAGACATATTGCACAATTCAAGGAACCTCAATTGATAAGAACCTTCGTCTTGTCAAAATCGTCCTGATGACAGTGCAGGCGAATGCACGACGGTATGCCCCCTTTCTTTGTTCCTCTGCTGGCCGATACTGACGTTGTCACCAATCAGAAAATCACAGTATCAACAACGCACAATATCAAAAACAAAATACAAAACCCCAACAACTTTTATGGAAACAAAGATAATCATCATCAAAGGAATATATGGTGCAAGATGCGTACGTGATGGGTGATGGAGAGGCAGCGCTACTATTGTTTTGTTTTCTCGTTGCGTTACGTACTGTTTAGCAGCAGAAACTTCTCATACATTGGCGTTTGGGCGCGGGCGCGGGTGGGGGTTTTGTGCTAAGGACATGAAAGTAAAATTTGATTTTTGTAGAAAACCAAAAAATGATGATGATTAAGTGACAGCTGATACGGGATGGTCGAAGCGATATCTAGTTTTTAAAAACGTTTTGTTGCGTGAGTATATCCTCCTTTGCTTACAGTCACTTTACAAAGTATGGTAAATTGACGTACACGTGCCCCCAAAAGCCGAGCCGAATAATCAGTAAACTTTGATTTTTACAATTTTCTGAGAGCCGACAATCTTTGAAAAGCAAAATTCAGCATTATAATATTTTCTAGGTCTTCAAGCAACTCACAGTTCTCGCCCGTTTACCCTTGTGCTTCAATTATGAGAAACATCAAAAAATTCTCTGCCCGATAAACTTCCGTGCCTTGTTGTCGGACATCTTTCTTTCACTTCAGAACTATCAAACTTGGCTTCCAAACAGTTATATTTTTTTTTAGAGGTTAAGAGTCAGCTGCACTTTTTACTTAACTTTTGACGTTTAAACCTAGGAACTCTCTGCCATTAGAGATTATGTAACCTCTGCGCACCTGTTCATCTTGCACAAGGTACATAAGGCATCGTCTTGAAGCTCAGATCGGCTTCAGACGTTGCAATCCGCCTCTTTTTCGAAATGTTCTTTCCATTACCAGTGGGAAATTTACTGCTTTTTTCGATTCGTCTGGTACGATAAAGGGATCCCAAACGCATCGATGCACAGGTCTTAACCCACTCTCTTACTTGTAAGACGCACAACCATCGGTAACGCCGTTTGACCCTAACCATTGTTTTCTTTTGGTTGGGTCTACTTTGAAAACCTGTTATGCTTCTATCTATGACTATCTCTCTTTTTTTATGCCACACGGCCCCAACGAATTATACCTTTCTTATATTAAAAAATATGTGATTAGTTTCTCCCATACTCCCTTGTTAATCTATTTGTTGCTTCCTTTTTGACAGGTCCTTCTGTTAGGAAGAGATGGGAGCACGAAGAGGAGCAATCTGCCCTGTCTGTGAAAAACCATTTGCCCAGGCTTACAGCTTGACTATTCACATGCGGATCCACAATGGAGAGAAGCCATTTCCTTGTTCAATATGTGGACGCCGCTTCACTCAGGCTCATTCACGCACCAAGCATGAGCGTACTCACACAGGTGAGAGGCTGCACGGCTGCCCTATCTGTGGGAAGCGCTTTGGAGAGCCTTTCATGTTAAAGCGCCACATGCGTGTGCATACAGGAGACAAGCCGTTCCGATGCCTGGAGTGTGGACGGTCGTTTTCCGACAAATTTGGATTGAAGCGGCACTTGAAAACCCACGTGAGTGTGAAAGCTCATGTCTGCCCTGACTGTGGAGAGAGCTTCTCAAACTCGTGGCTTTTAGCAACCCACCAGCTGCATCATATGGGAATCTCTGCTCCAACTGCCAGTCAAGGGGAATTTCCTCCAGTCCCTGGCGTACTAAAGAGGAAATCCGGTGACACTGGCCCAGTAGCACCTGCAGCAGCTGCTGCCTTGCAACAAGCACAAGAACAGGCACAACACATTCAAGCTCAAGTGCCTGTTCCTCAGGTTGTGCATATTCAACAGGTTCCACATGAACAACCAGCTCATGAACAAACACCTCCCCCAAGGCAATCTAATGGAAGCATCTCAGGGAAAAAAAAGACTCATATTTGTTTGGTTTGTGGTAAAGGATACTCTGATGCCTGGGGACTGTCGAAGCATAGTTGGGTTCATACAGGCATCAAACCATACAGTTGTTCAGAGTGTGGGAAGGGATTTGGTGATAAATGGAGCCTGACAAAACATATGAGAGTCCACTCAGGGGAGCGACCATACGAGTGTTTCTTGTGTGGGCAGTGTTTTCCAGACAAGTCAGCTCTCCAGAGCCACCTGCATGTGCACACTGGGGAAAAGCCATACATTTGTGATGTATGTGGGAAGTGTTTTGCAGCTGCTCGTGCCCTCCAGGAGCATAGAGCTAGTCATGTTGACCGTGACCAGCATGCTTGTCCTGTGTGTACTCGGGTTTTCATGACCAAGAGGGGAGTCAATGACCATTGGAAGAAACACTGTGGCAAAGACAACCCTACAGCAATTGAAAACCTTACGACTGCTGTTGACAATCCTGTTCCTACAACCTTATGCACTGTTGAATTGAAACCTGATCAAGAACTTTCTGCAGTAGCTCTAGTGGCTTCATCAGATTATCAACCAGTCCAGGTAGCCCCTGTGCAGGTTGTGCAGCAAGCTCAAGTTCAGGCCCAGAACCAAGGACCAGTTCAAGTTCAAATTCAATTGCAGTCTGGAAAAGACCTATGGCCAGGCTCTGCGTGGGAATCAGCAAGTCTTCTAGAAGTTCCTGCCCCAGGTAGTTCAGGAAAAGTTGAAGCCAAAATTACTCCCATATTTTTCTGCGAAGTGTGCCACAAAACTTTCCGGCAGCTCTCTCAGCTTGAGAAACATAAGACCATTCACACATCTGGTTCAAAGGGAAAGGAGTCCATACAAGTCTCAAGAAATGAGGATCAAGAAAGAGTAGCTCAACATCGTTGTGATAGTTGTGAAAAGACTTTTGCATCTTTGAGTTGTCTAAAGACTCATCTAGAATCAGAGGGTTGTCCTAAAAACTGTGCACTTTGTGGTAAAGCATATCGTACCATGAATCCCGATGGTGCTCGTGTAACCTCTCCTTATTGTGAAACTTGTATTGTATCTCATCATTTTGATGCTCATGCTGACTTGACTTCACCAAAACGCTCTCAACATCCACCCTGGTCATTTGATGCCACTCACATGGCATTTCAGAAGCACATATCAGTGCATAGTGATGGTACTAAACCTTGTAGTTGTGGCCATTGTGATGGGATGTTTTCAAGCCATGCCGCTTTACCAGCCCATGTATTATCAGTGCCTACTGCTGGTGTATGACAGTATGCCAATCCCTGTTTAGCTAGAAAATCACCACCTCCGCGTCAATCTTTGAGACAGTTTACACAACTCTTGTAGGTTTTATAAGCTAATAATTTGAACCAATATCTCTATTGACATCTTTGAATGTGTTGTGAAATTAAATTCCTTCTCACATGTCCATGGGAATAATGTTCAGTTGTGGATCAGTATTTTAGAATAATCTGTTAGCTTCTGTTTTTCTTGTGCATATAAGTATGTATTTGACGGTGATGATAAACTCTTGCTTGATGTTCAGGGATAAATGCTGTGTTCATTGTTCGTAAGTGCTATGAAATAACATACTTTCATATTTAACTACCCTGTAATTAAGCAACAAGGGATGAGCTGTGTAGATGTGAAAAACACAATACTCTATCTATAGTAACAAATAGTTTAAAGGTGAAGTGTTTATGATCTGTACAGATAAAGCGGCTACAAATTGTGGATCCTTCATAATTTTGATTTGAAAAAATCATTGTTTCTACAGAAATTGTTACATTTTTATTTCATCTATTTTCCTAAGGATTTCAAGCAATCTAGTCTCATCATTGACAAGAAGCCATATAGCATATGGAATTTTTCATTTAAAAAAAATGTACCATAATATATGACCTTCACTTAATACAGAAAGTTTTAAGAGACTAAGATGTACGGTAAATGGAAATCAAGTAGTTAAATTGACTCATGTTTGTTGTAAATGTGTTTATTTCTGTTATTGTGTGTAATTTTTCAAATTAAACTATAGCTTGTTTTCTAAATCATTAAAAATTTCTATTATCTCTACAGAATAACTTTCTTTTCATTTGGTTTTTAATATTTAAGGAAAAATACACCACTGCCACTTAAAAAATCTAAAATTTGAAGAAACTTGTTCCATCTATCAAGGGATGAAGATAATCTAATAGATGCGTATTGCATACATATTTAGTTTATGTAATGCAATAGTGCATCACAATAAATTGTGATTTCACTCCCCCACCATTTTTATCATGAGACCTCTACATGAATTCTTAAATCCCACCAGTCGACCAGTCAGTTGAAGTAGATGTACCAATTGTAGTTTTGCCTTAACATTTTTTTTGTTCTAACCCAAACATCTTTAAATTTTGGAGTTCAGCATTCTACTTTGTATAGTAACAAACAGCCTTTGTTCATTTCTTAAAATCATGACTCACCAAGGAACATCTCCAATATTTCAGTTTATGGCCATGCAAGTGACTCTGCTTGGGACCAATTTTTAATGTGATTTGAATGAAAGTTTGGCATAGTGAAAATGCATTTTAGTGATGTCCTTTCTTTAGCAAAGACTTGAGGCCAGTTGTAGAACAATCTGTTACCAATGATATTTACCTAGTTGTTAATTTTTTTTTTTTTTTTTTTCCCCTTTATATGTTTATTAAAGCTTCTGTTATGCTTTGATCTTGTCATGTGTACCAAATATGGGTCATTTTCTGTTCTTATTGTTCACATATGAGAAGACAAATAACTAGTAGTTGGTCTTCATTTCATACATGTTAATGGAGAAATGGTAAATATAATGTCTTCTGCTCAAATTTACTTATTTGACTATGTATTTGTTTCCAGTTTTATGATGTCTGGAACATCAGTATTTACATTTTTTTTATTTTGAATACTTTACCACATAAATGGAGCTCTCTCACGCAAAATTTTCACTCCAATGCGTTTCCATTCATCTGGCGTTATCCACAACTCATGAGAAGACTCGAGGCATGAAAGAATTGAGGCTCCCTTCCATGCAGTGAGTTGAGGATCGGTGTCTTTCGGTGTCATGACAATATCTGTTTGATCTGTAACAAATAAAAGCTTAGACTCTTGTTTTCTATGAAATGGAACTCTAATACAAAGTATTCCATAAATCTAATCTACATTTGTGCTGGAGGCTAGCAGATACCTGATCTGTACGCAAAGGGTACTTGTAAATGAAGCCGGTTTTGAAGGTATGTTGCTATGCCGTTAAATTTCATTCCACCTCCAACAACCAAGACACAGTTGTACATTTTCCTCTTCATGTCCTCTGATGCTGCAAGTTAAGTTTGATAAGAGCATACATTTATTTTCTCCTGGGAAATAAGAAGTATGGTAGATACATACGACATCTGTCGATGCTCTGTAAGACCGCTTGATCCAAGCCTAGAAGCTTCCCAGGACTTATTTCAAATTCTCCTACTCCAGTTGTGCCAGTGCCTCCATCAAGATTGTCAACAACAATATCATCTTCAGCACCGGGTAGTTCTCCAACAGCAGAAATGTCTGCCCCACCAGTTGTATCTAGATTCTCCTTGGCACCCTTCCTCTAAAAAGTAATTTAACTTTTGAAATATGATTCTTAAATTTATGTTTGAAGGTAACATGGTAAAAAAGAAACATTTCTTACTCCAGTTTCTCGAATGAAATGGTCATCAAAAGGATCTTCAGAATCACCCGAATATCTTTTCTGAGTAATAGAAGTTTTTGCTCCTGTCATGGAGAATAGTTCTGGATAAAATAAACTTAAAGGAGCCACAATACATTCATCACCAAGCATCAAAGTGTACTGTTGAATTCCTGTTTGAACTTTCTGGATAGCAAATGATTTCTCGTGTGATCCACAAACATCCTACAACAAAGATATGGATACTTAAAATTGGAGGAAGGATTTTTAGATATTAGCTTGTCTGCTATGACTCACCAAATTAACATGGCAGAAGTCCTCTTTGAGTCTGTGCAACAGCATAGCATCTGTATTGTTTCTTGTGTCACACGTTTTATAGGGAAAAGCACATTTACACAGCAACCAATGGAATATGTGTGTGATGTCTCCTCCTCCATACTCCATCCTTATCTAGCCAACAAAAAATGAGTTAAAATGTGCAATTACAGAGTTCTAGTCGCCAAGAATATTAGCTTTTTCTCACCCTTGTATTACGGTGAGATATGCCATCTTCTACACATGAAACAGATGTTTTTTGATCTCCAACATCTACAACACAAGCAACACCCAAACCTGCACCAAAAGTAGCCGCAACATGATCCTGAAGTATAAGAAAGAAAATTGTTTCTAATCATTCACAATATTTATATTTCAACAATAATTAAATTTTGTCTATGTATTATGTATTTCAAAGGAAGAAAAGACAACTTTACCTGGAGAAGAAAACATCCACCAAAGCCAAGATCACTAAGCAAAAGTGTCATCAGTTCTTTTAAATATTGTCGATTGTAGACATCTGGTATAACAAGCACAGCCCGGCATTGCTATTAACAAAGAAATCAGGTAATCAGGAAATTCAGGTAAGAAGGTTTCACCTACTGGTTTGTTAAAAATAGAAAAATGTTTCATTGATACTTTTGTTTTAGTTTTACAGTACCTTTCTCTGAGGCTTAGGAAGACCTAATTTTGAAGATAAAAGGTGTCCCCAAATTGCTTCTAGATCAGCCAGTACTGCTGATACAGATCCACCTGGGCCACTATGTACATTAAAATCACCTCTCCGGTATGGAAAATGGATGTTAAAATCAAGGGTAGGATCTAGACTTGATATATCATTTCCTATAACAATGTCGCTTTCAGGTTTAATCCATTTAGAAACTCCAACTATATTGGTCGTGTTAGGAACTTCCACAGTTGTTGGCTCAGAACGTCTATTGAAGGCTGCTATCTGTTGTGGAGGAGTCGCATAACGCCTTCTCCCATCTGATTGGAGACAGGACTGAACTGCATGTGATACTTGCAGACGAACATCTTCTAAAAGATCTGTAAGCTCACGAGTCTGTAAATTTCAAAACACACAAGAATAAATACTAAATTAGTCAACTTCAGAAATAAATGATAAATTTTCCAGATAAATATGTGAAGACAATCGTTACCTTTGGAATAACTGCTGGCAAAATGTCATCTCGATGAATTTGGCCTCCAACCTTTTTTCTCCTTGCAATAGCATGGAGCTCAGAGACTGGATTAAGATCCGATGCTCTTCCGATGCGAACATTTAAGGAGCCAGGATGAATAACTACAATATTTTGAGGAGCAATGCTCTGAACAATTGTTGTCTGAAAAAAGAAATGGTTAGGAATAATAAAAAGGCGGATTAAGATTATAAACCTTGTGCATATATAACTAAGACAATTAATCAAAATGACTAACCTCCTCCATTTCTAAATTATGTCTGATTGATTTTAAGGCATTATCATATGTTTAACTAAAGAGACATGAAATATAGCTGTGCTGTCATATATAGCCGGCAACCATGATTTGGTTTTCAGAGTAAATTGAAAAGGATAAACTATAAATGTAAAGTTAAACAGCTAATTACATAAATGTACAGCAAATAATTGTCAAGTTTCAGATGCAGTAGAAGAAATCAAGAAAACCGACAAGTCGACAAGTCGCACGACAAAAACAATAACCGGCAGGCGATAACCTCAACGTTTGATTGTAAACATCTGCATCCATCATCTGGGCTGGAAGGGTGGGGGTAGGTAGGGAAAGGAAGGAGAAGAAAGGGGGGGGGGGGAGCAACCAGGGAAAGAGTTCTGCTCGCTTGATCTTTAGTCCATTGATTCTTCCCCTCGTATTTTATTTATTGATTTTATGTGAAAGGCGATTGCCGATCAACATGGCTAGAACATCAAAATGTAACGGACGGAAATGAGTTGGTTCCGGCATTTCCAGGCCGCCGGCTTACCCAACGGAATGCAGATGTTTGGCCCGCCCCACCCTTCCCTTCGTTACGCCCATGCACCTGGCCGTGCTGGACCCCCCCCCCTCTCTCTCTCCTTGCCCACCTTGTATGTACGCTACGCCCGCGCCCGCGTCCCCGTCCCAGTGAGATCGGAGTAGGGCGTGGAGTATGTGTGGCGGTAGGCCCGTGCGTTTGCGGGTGCTTGGGGTGCCGCGCGCAGCGGGCACGCCGTCGTGGCCTCCATCGAATTCCAAGCAAATCAAACGACGTTAACGCCATTGACGTCATGTGGTCGTCAGAGTGAACAAACTGCTGGCTGAACAAGTGACCATTCCACGTTTCTTGGGATCGCCCACGAACCGCGGCCGCGGCCGCGTCGGGACCTCCAACAGTCGATACGCAGGTAAGACAACTAGACAACAGTAGGCTCAAGACTAGAGGACTGCTGTATCAACTCCCGCTCCAGCGCCTCCAGCGGCGAGGCTGGAGCCGGCGTGGCGTGGCGCGGAGGCCTGCTGTCCAGCTCTGGAGTAGTCCCGCGCAACGCCATACGCGCTTACGCCCACCAAGGTCAGAGCGGACAGGACAGGGGGCTTCCTCCAACGCCGGCCGCGCTACGGCCCCACTGAGGAAGGGCTCGACTCAGGGCTCGGAGGTACACACTTTGTACTTACCTACCGGCAGGTGCCGTGCCGGGTGCCCGAGCCTGGCGCGTCCGGCGCCCCAGTCGCTCCGCAATGCGCGGGGGCGTGGCAGCGCGTAGCGCGGCGCCGTTCCACTTGAAAGCGGGTCACCGTCGAGGCGATGGGCCTGGCCTCCTGCAGGACTTTGGCAAGGCCACCGCCAGCCACAGCGCACCACAGCGGTGTCGCGGTGGGCGCGTTGAACTCTGGCGGATGACCGCTTGTTGTGAGCCCAGGTGACCCTGCCCTAGGACGACCTCAAGGATGTCCGGTTCGAGGCCGCGCAGGAGTCCGACGGGGAAGCCCTCGAGCTGAGGGCACCGACCTCGCGGGAGCCTTCTAGGGCCCAGAGTGATGACGACGCCGTGGTGGTGCTCGCGGCGAGGTCGCGAGGTAGTGGCCACCGGGTTGCTGCTCGTGTTCTGCGTCGGCTCCATTCTTGTGCTCAGCCACGTGCTGGGGGTCGCGAACCTCCGGCGGCCCGCACCCGACGCCGCCGGGGAGCTGGCCAAGCCGCCGCTGTACCCGGCCGCGGAGCAGCTCCTCGACCTTCCCCACTTCAGCTACCTGCTCAACGCGGACCCGTGTGAGGACGAGGACGTTGAAGGTAAGTTCGGCTGAAGACTCGCGCCCGTGGCTGCTGGACATCACGACCGCTGCTCACTACTTGTTCCCGCAGGCGTGCTCATCGTCACCTCCCACGCCGGCCACGTGGAGCTGCGCAGCGCCCACCGCCGCGCGTACCCGCGCGTGGACCTGCTGGGGCTCGGGCTGCGCCGGGTGTTCCTGCTCGCCCGGCAGCCGCAGCACCAGGACGACGCCGACCGGGACGCCCGCGCCCTGCGCGACGAGGGGCGGCGCTTCAAAGACATCGTTCAGGGCGACTTCGTGGAGGCGTACCGCAACCTGACCTACAAGCACACCATGGGCCTGCTGTGGGCGACGCGCTACTGCCCGCAGGCGCGCCTCGTCATCAAGATGGACGACGACATCGTCGTGGACCTCTACCAGTTCGTGGACGTCGTCAAGAAGCATCAGCAGCAGCGGCGACACCAGGTTGGTGAACTGTGCGAGCGATACCCCCCGTCCGCGGTCGGTGCGCGGGGTATCGCCGTGACGGCTGCCGTTTGTTTTGCAGGAGGCATGGATGTTCGGCTACGTGCTCCGCGGGCTGCAGCCGTCCCGTGAGCCGGCCAACAAGTGGTTCGTGACGCGGGCCGAGTACGCGGGCGACGCGTACCCGGACTTCGTGTCGGGGTGGTTGTACGCGGCGCCGGCGGCGGTGGCGCGCGCCCTGGCGGCCGCTGCGGCCCGCTGGACGGCCCGGGCCGGCTACTTCTGGATCGACGACCTGCTGCTGACCGGGATGGTGCGCGAGACGCTTGGCGCCGGGGGACTCGGCGGCGTGCAGCTGCACGACGCGCGCGAGCTGTACACCGTGCACCCGGAGGTGATCCACTGCTGCCTCGCCGAGCCGGACCTGCGCTGCGACGTGCTCGTCGGGCCCAACGGCGGCGACAACGACCTCATCGTCAGGTACGCCCCGAACACGACACGCTCGGAACCAAACGATGTTTGCTTCTTTTTCATGTAACATAACATTCTTTTGTCCGCCACGACCATCCACCTGTTGCAGGCTCGCGGCGCACGCGGCCCGCTGCCACTTCGGCCAGTCCTGCCGCGACCGGCCGGCGCACCGCCGCGTGGAGCGGGCGTGCGTGGTGCGCGCGCAGCAGGCGGACGAGCGCCTGCCGCAGGACAGCGCGGGCCCCGGCCGTGCCGTCGGCCAGGCGAGGCAGGTCCGCATGTTTTGACGCCCCGGGCCGGCCGGGCCGTCCGGCCCCGGCGGCGACACGACGCGGCCTGATGATGATGCGTGCAGAAATGGAATGGCCCTTCACGTCCGGGTTGGTCGGGTCGGGTCGAGCTGACCCTGAATGGTCTGGCCCTAGTCGTCGTCGCGTTGAGTGCCCTGTGCCAGTACGGCCGCCGCCGGGCCGGGCGGGGCCGGGCCGGGCTGGAGATGATTGGGATAAGAATAGCGCGCTGCTCGCGTCCTCCTGCGCCGCCCCCGCCCGGCCTGGCCCGACACAATTGGACCGAGCAGGTTTCTCTAGTCACAAAGGAGACGGGGGGTGCGCGACTGACCCGCTGACGTGCGAGCTTCGCGCACTCGCGTCACTGGGTCGCCATTATACGTCTGTGATATCGTGAGCAATAAACTTGCCTTTTATACACGTTTGTGACTTATTTTGTCGGTCCCGCATCATGCCTCGTTGACCTCCCGCACGACGCCCACCACCCATCCGTCAGTGTGGTGCTGACGGCTGGTGGGTACCCGCTCCGCCGTGCGGGTATGCAGCCCATCGGGCGCGCCAGCTCTCCGGCCCAAAGAGGCGCATGTCGGGAGGGCGCGCGCGGGAGGGGCTCCTCCCATCCTCCAGCCCCCCCCCCCTCTCGCCCGCAAACGACATTGATTGGTGGTTTTGCGGTGGTGATATCGGCTTGATGTCTATTTTACTGGTCATTTGTCCTTCTGTCCCAGCCTGGCCCGGGCGGCAGAGCGCCGGACGTCCTTGCCCGCCGCCGGTACAATTTCGACCAGAGCGCGCGCGCGTTCTCCGCACATCACTTAGATTTAGTCGCATTAATAAGACGTTGAGTATGACGCGCCGAGTAAGAGTGACGCCACGAGTGACACGAGTGACACCCGAGAGTGACGGGGTGGCGGCGCGCGAACGACGCCGCGGAGTCGCGCGCGAAAGGGAAGTCCGCCGCCGTCATACCGCGTCGACTCATTTCCGCCGATCAAACAAGTGTTTAGGTACACAATGACTAGAATACAAACACCTCCGGACCTCCGGGTCGTGCCGGGCCGGTCGCCGCGGCTACTCACCTGGCGGCGGCGCGCTCGGCCCGGGCCGTGACGGCCTGACCGGCGCCTGACCGCGAGTCGCCTCCGCGCTACGCGGCGCTACGCGGCCGGGCCGCGGCCGGCTGTCGTGACGTTGTTCCGGTCCGCCGGCCCCGCGGCTCGCGGCGCTGAGCCCAGCCATTCTCGACAGCGGAAGGATCCTCACAGAGTGATGCACATTCATTCGGGGGCCGCCCGCACCGCACTGACGAGTGGTTTGCATGCGAAATTCTCCGAACTTTAGAGGACAATTGTCCTTACTGACAACTGACTGTATGGCTGTGGACGAGAGCAAACCGGACCGAGTAGCGAACGTACTATCCCTGAAGTATAAGAAAAAAACTTGTTGAGCACCAGTATGGTTTGACGTCTCTTAAAAAAAAAAAAAAAAAATGCTTTGAGTCATGTTGTTTGAGTGCGACCCGTAATTATGTGTGAGTGTAATTATGAGTAAGTGCGACCACACCATGACCACATAGGGTAGGGACATGTCGATCACAAAATGCTAATGACTGGTGTGAATTAATCTATTCTCAGCACGCAAATAAAGTGCTCAATGGTCCGCCACCGGTGCGGCCGGAAGGGTTTATCACTGGGGAAATGAGTGTAGACTGACTAAAAGTCACAAAGTTAATATGTGAATGAATGTGAGATGTGACTGAATTTCGGCCAAAAGAAACTACTCATTGGATGTGACCAGAAAACGACAGCAAACGAATCCGTTGAGCTTTTGCCTGTGCGTAAAATTTGCCGAATTTTCAACTAGCATTTTGTTCACTTTGTTTACAGAAGTACATACAAATTTGAACACAGCTCTGTACAAATCCTAAAAAGTATGCACGCCTCAAGCATATGTTTCTGGCCAACTAAATGCATTGGATTGGTGAGTGGATGTGACTGGAAAACTGACAACACGGGGAAAATGACTGTTACGAGCGCCGAGTCGTGTACACTGACTGGACAAAGTGGTGTACCCGTCGGGCGCGGCCAGCACTGCGAGTTCGGCGCTATGACGGCCGCCGCGCCGCGCACCTCGCGCTGCTCGTCATCCACACCGGCCCCCGAAAATATGTGTCATGGCGAAACGTGATACAGTCCGGGCCACTGTGCGGCCCCGGACCCAGGACGGCAGAGTCATGCAATGTGCAATACACCCGCTGAGCCCCCCTCCCCCCACCCCCTATTGCCACCACCACTGTAGCTGGAAACGAAAGTCTCCGGAATCATTCGATGTTATCACTGGGATTCAAAGAGAGCATTTGAGAAATTTCGCAACGTCAATAAAATATAGATTTGTTTGATCTCACTGTGCGCCGCACTCGTCTCCTTGGGCCGCAATGTTTTCTCACACTCGCACAGGTTTCTGTCTTGTTCCCATAGTGTGGCGAGGCGGGGTCCGAACGCCGCTCCCAACAGCACGTGGTGGTGGTGTCACAGGGCGGGAGCAGGCGAGGGTCAGAGTCCGGCTCGGGTCGGGGTCCGAGCAGACAAACTACGAGCTGGAGCGGAGTTTGCACGCGCTCGCCCTGCAGTCAAGGAAGGAGGTGAATGTGATCTAAGATGGGCTGCGGAAGGGCAAGGCAAGGCGCCATTCAGGGTCTTTACAAATAAATAACTTGGGGCGTAGCAATAGTCCAGAAATTATGGCCGTTTTCCTAAGATTTATTGGCTAATGACGGGAGCTCGGCGCCTGCGAAACTCATGGTAGGCCAGCCCGCAATACACGCATGTACTGCAGTCGGGATGTTGCCTACCCATCAGGCGCCATGAGAGCTACCATAGGCTACTTTCTGGATGATCCCATTCGTAAATACGTACTTTTCGGGGTCATAGTATTTGACTTGAATGTATGCGAACATACTAGCCGCTCTCACGGTGATAGCCCGCACACACGCACGCCTGGAAGCAGTGCAGTGTAACAAACACTTGTGCTGCGAGGCCCGCCCACCTTCTGTGTGGCACGGCTGTTTTAATTCGGTTATCTTTACTTAATGTGACCACGGGAACAGGAACAGATTGGGACTCTACATTCACCCACCCCCCAAAAAAAAGGGGTTTAAAAGGTATTTATTTTAGTTTCGTGTCCTAGGGTTGACAGGAACACAGAGAAGGCGATGGTCCCAGAGGAAAAAGGGGGGGGGGGCGGTCACGATCACTGCCAAGGGCGCCCGGAGGTGCCGGCGAGGACCGCCTGCCCCCCGCCCGCGCCGGCCTGCGCGCTGCAGTGCAGTCAGGAAATGCAGATATGATTCTCACACTGTATTCGCATTACCGTTGCCTGGCGTCGGAGCGGAGGGGGTGGGGTGAAGGAGGGGGCGGCTGACGTGACGGCCGCGTCAAAGGCTTTCCTTGACAGTGGCGTTGGTCTTCCCTCTCACCCGAGCCGAGGACGCGGCACGATTGCGGGTCCCGCGAATACCGTTCCACAATCATTATTACCATGCGTTGCGAGCACGCTGCCTAGCCTCCCGGCCGCTTGCTTCCTATACTCTGGCGTTGTCTCAAGAGGGACAGTCGAGAAAAGTGTGTGTTTTTATGAGCTATATAGGCAGAGCTGCGGGGCGGTAGGGTGCGCGACTGAACTGCGTGAGGCGGGAGCTTGGTGACGCCTCGAGAGTGAGGCGTCTATCTTTGGGACGCGGCGGGGGCACGGGGGGCAGAGCAGCAGAGCGGTCGGGTCGGGCGGCCCGCGGCGGGGCAGGGCAGGGCATGGCGGGAGCAACAATGTATTGATTTAGTGCCATTAGGCGACGGACGGCCGCGTCGGGCCGCCTCTCGATCTATCGATCTCTCGATCCGCCAATCGCGCCGCTCAATCATACGACCGAGATGATGGGCCGGCTGCTCCATCGCATCAAATTATAATAAATATAATTCGATGAGGACCGGCGGCGCCGCGTGCCATATCATATCTCAATGGAAAAAATGGGACGGAAATAAAACTCGCGATCTTTTCAACTTGTGCAAAAAAGAAAACGCAAGTGCCCGCCCTGCGCTACAGAGCGAGGACGGGGAGGTGGGGGTGGGGGGGGGAGCTTTCCTTCGTGATAGTTTTGGGGACTGTCTGAGGAGTTTGAACCCATTTGAACTCGCTGTCTTGACGCATTTCGTGCACCGTGTGAGGCGGGCGGCCGGTGCAGTGGCGTGGCGTTGACGCTGGCGTGCCGGGCCAGGTCACACACGCCAGCGGTGCCGGCGCGGCTCAGCGGTGCGCGACTCGCCCGGCCCGCCCATCGGGCCTGCCTTTAGGCCCTCCGGCTTGGGGCCCGGTTAACACGTTCAGTGCGGCGTGACCACAGTGTGGCAGCGAGTGCCGGGGTTGTCGTTGTCACAAAGCCACCTCGAGATCTTAGGCGCGCGGGACGAGTTTAACGCGAAATGAAGACGAATGCGTACACTAATAATTGTGGTCAACTTTTTCATACACCAACTTACCAAAAATTCTTCACATGTTTTTCGTAGTTTTTAAAACGGAAAATCATGAAAAAATTGTTTAAATTTGCGTAAAATTTGCCCATAATATTTTGTTTTGAAAAATGCACAAGAGCAAGTGAAGAATTTGTTATAACCTGCGTATTAAAAAGTTGAAAGCAATTCAGTGTGTGAGGTTGTAGATTGTAGGACACGGGTGTCAAGTGGCCAAAGTGTGCTGCGGGTGGTCAGTTCGAAAAGGGAATATGGCTCTCCCACCCCACCCCACACTACCACACTCGTCACAGTTTTCCCCTCCCCCCCCCCCAGCTGGTTGGCATAAATCAGTAGACAACGACGGCCTAGGCTTGAGGCCTGAGGAGTGTCCGGGAGTGTCGCAGAGGGCCGCGCCCGTCCCGTCCCGTACCCTCCCACAAGGACGCGAGGCTCTGGAGCGCGCGTGCCAGCAGCCCTCCGCGACGCAATAGCTCCGCAATTGTTCACACAGGCTCTGTCCCCTCCAGAGTGCGGCCTCCTCCTACACCTCGCCCTGCCTCCCCGGGGCCGCGGGGCTTTCCCCTCCACGGCGACCTCTCGCCGCGTCCGGACTAATCGGCGACAATCTATCGGTACGTGTGTTGCCGGCCGGGCGTGCTGTATGCGCGCTGTAACCCTGGAGGAGGTGTTACATGACCGCGGGGCTTTCCTCCGCTCATTCCTGTAACTTATGGTGTAGTGATGCCACGGTAGTCTCCCTCCTTCAGGGTGCCGTTGGCGGCCGGCTCGTCGCCCGTCACATCTGACCCGACACCCTCCCCGATCTATGCATACGAAAGCCATTGTCTCCGCATGTGAAGCCCCCGCCCCCGCCGCCGTCTGCCCAGCCGCGGCGGGGCGTGGCGTGCGAGTG